CGAGCATGAGCATCAGGGAGAATGAAGAGCCTCTTTCTCTCTCTGAGAATATAGATTAATAATTCGTCAAATGAGACAAATCTCACTGGCGGCCCCTTTTAAGCTCCTTGGTCATGCAGGAGTTAAGCATACAGAAAACTGCAGAATGCTATTATTTTAGAGCCCTGTGAAAATGTAATTTGATTAGTCTATTGGACGATATTCCAAAGAACCAAATGTCTTCCATGAATCAGTCAGAAATGCTTAGGAAAACCAAAATAAAAAATGCTTTCTAAGCCAATAAAGGTGCTAATTAGTGCCTTCTGCATATCTCACGCCATCTTCCCCAGTAATACGTTTTGCAGGGTTAAGTGCGGTGTCTGCTGCTTCAGATGGCAGGCGTCCACCGAACAGTCGGCGGGGTGGCTGCAGACTCAAGTCTCTAAAAGGGAATCAGAGCTGGCATTTTCACCCAGGCAAGGAGATGCATTCATAGGGCAGGGCACATGTTTTTCTTGCTCCCATTCCCCTCCAAATCAACCCTCACGAAACCTGGGAATAGTACAACCTTCATTTTCTTTCCCTTTTTTCGTTCCCCAATGCTTTTAGAAAGTGAAACCTAGTTTTATAAAACTAATAAAGTTATCTTGGAAGGGGAAACAATTGCAGAACATATCACAACCAAGCAACTAGAGAAGCGAGTGAGGAATGAAGGAGGCCCTAGCCAGCAGGTTTTGTGGTGAATACAGGCACCTCCATAAGAGTCTCATCTTCCACCAGGGGCAAGCAGGTGCCTGTAGAAGCTGGAGAACATCCGGGCCAACAGGAGCGGTTTGCTTGTTCTTGCTCTGATCTGAGCAGCAGACTCAAATGCTTCCAGAGGCTAGGCAGGTAACCGCTAACCAACCAAGCAGGCAGGACAGAGAGCAGAGGGTGGCAGAGCACGTTGCCCTCAACAGACTGCTGCCCCGAAGAGGCCTGGGCCAGAGTTGCTTGATTTTCTGAGCTTTAAGGGAATTCTAGGAATCCCAGTGCCGGTGAGAACTGGACCACCAGCTTGTGCCACTTGGTTCAAGTTTGTTGCTGAAAACAGGTGACCTGACCCACATAAGCCCCATCCTCAAGCTCCAGGAAGTTTCCCTTACAAGTGGGCAAAGTGAAAACTGTACAAATAAAACAACAACAACATTCCCCTACCAGACCAGGAATAATAACTTCACACTTCTCTGTGCAAGATTCTCAACTGCCGAGTCAAAGTGTTGGAAGGGCCAGTCGCTGCGTACCAGGACCCAGAGAGCCCAGGAATGCCAGAAGGGAATGGAATGATGAACCAAATTAATTTTTAGTAGTTTTATTACAATTTTAAAAACAGGCTTATCTTGTGAATTTTTTAAAAGTCGTATTGATTTTCCCTGGCTTGGTTTTTTCCAAAGTCTAAGCTTGGCAGCAGAGAAGACTTATGTGTCTGAATGTATTAGACGGAGATAGGCGTTGGTGTCATTTTAAACAAGATCAAGAAGAAAGCGTGTGAGTCCAACAAAGGGTAGAAAAGCTGTATGTGTGCATCGGTGAGGGTAGGAATCAGCTGAGGGGGCTCCAGCGCCCCACCTGTCCTCCCTTGGTCAGCGGTGGTGGAGCTTACGGGGCGGTGGGCTGTGGGAAGGCCCTCCCCCAGCGGGTCATGAGATTGTGTACGGCTTTCATGTATGCCATTGGGCCGGGAAATACCCTTCCGGTGACCTAGCCAGCTCCACTCTGCACATTCCCTGGAGCACATGTTGCCTTTAGGGGCTTCTCCTCTTGGCTTCCTCTTGGCTTCCTGGCAACCAGATCACTTCTCCACATGGGGTGTGGTCCATGGAGTGTGGCTGCCACCTCTGCATGGGCACTAGAATCTCCTAAAGATGCCCTAGGGGCGGGACTGCAGGGTCTTCTGGGTGACTAGATTTTCTGAGGGCCAGGGTGTTGGACACCGCAGCGAGGCTGAGCTAAGTCCTCTCACCCGTACCCGAAAAGGGAGCGCTTCCTCTCTGACCATTTGAGCAATTCACTGCGACCACAGCGCCAGACCCCTGGCCTGGATGTGCACATCCGTTCACACGTCCCAGGAAACCCAGAGCGATGTCAGACAACCAGCAGAGCCTGAGACCGTGGCTAGAGAGGCAGACGCGGCCGGATGGGCAGAACCGTGGGATGACTGAGGAGAGAAGAGGTGCTCAGAAACTCCAGGATTCTCCGGACGGGCTGACCGGGCACAAGGGGAACCTGCCTTTGTGAGTTACATGCAAAGCAGCGGATGGAGATGGTAGTGGTAGGAAGGGGAGCAGGAAGCGAGAGGAAAAAAAAACTTGCTTAAAATTGATAAATATTTATTTTCCCTTCCATGTTGGGCAACATATTTAATTTATCATGGCATCGAGTCATTAATATGACTGTCAAAAATTAGACTGTGCTTGCATCTCTAACGTGGTTAATAAAGTGGCAAATGGGCTTTCTCTCATGTGACAACTTCAATCAATTGGCAATGGCTTTATGGTTTGAGAAGGCCAGAGACTGCGCTGAGAGCGGTGGGTAGAGCGCCACCGTGCAGAGCCGTGCCTGCTGCCGTGGGAGCCGTGGCGGAAAATGACAGGTAGCTCTCAATCCCTGGACCTTGCAGGTGCCTCATGGGGTGAAGGAAGAGCAAATGGGACAGCACTGTCCAAACAGCTCCCTTTTTATCCGTGTAAATTATTAAAATTTTGCAAAAGAATTTCACTACTAAAACCCACTGCTTTAAAACCACTGATGTAATGGGCAAAAAGAGACTGGAGTTTTGGTTCTAAGTTCATTTCCAACTTGGTACGTAGGTTTGACTCAGATATTTTGACTTGCATGAATATCTGTCACCAGATGTCACCTAGGACATTTGAAAAATGTCATATTTGTATCATAATAATGATCATTTGCCTCAATATTCTATCCTTGGCAGTGGCTCCCAAGAATGTTATTTACGAGCCATTATGTATTTTCTTCAAGTTAGCAATTTCTAAAGTTTAGGCATGTGTCCTGAAATTACTGTTTTTCTCAAAAACCCACTCATGAAGTTTGTTCTGAACAAAGGACAGCAAAACAGCTCTATCTCATTCAATCAGTTGGTAGTGGCTTTCTGGTGGTTCAGGGAGCCTACCTAGGCTCTGTGAGAAAATGACGTCATCAATCAGTGATGTCCGCCATGGGAGCAGGGCTGAGAGAGGAAGCACAGGGCCCTATCTGTCCCTCCTCTATTTTTAGACCCCTGTCATAGAAGTGTATCTTCACCCCATCTAATTCTTGTGCTGACAGAGTTCCATTTGTTGGGTAGGGCAGGGACTTACTTCATCTGTTCACTACCTACGTCTTTCCATTGCAGTTGTGCATTCAGGGCTTCATTAAGAAGCTACTATGTGCGCACGCCACAGTCACACACCTCTAGTCTTAATCTCCCCGCGCCAACGTCCCTTTTCCATTCAGCAGAGTCAGTGAGCTTTGAGGAAACAGCTGAAAACTATGGGCATTCTTATCTCCACCCCAAAAATCTAGCTTTCAGAGACACGCTCATGGGTGTCTTGAGACCCCTTTGTAGACCCCCACCCCGACAAGGGCTCTGGCTCCCACCAAAGGGCCTTTTATTCTTTCCAGCTTCCTTTCACGGTTTCAGCCTTTCAGGTTGCTTTCCCAAGATTTCTCTCAACCTGTGTTATCTTTCTTGGGGTGAAAAAGTCACATTTTCATAGCGGTGCAGGGCGACAACAGCTCCCAGTTTTATCCGTGTTGCCCACTGGCACCCAGGAGAGTGGCAGTCGAGAGGACACGAGGAGACGGGAGCACGTCCTGAGGAGCTTGCCCCACCCTGGGTGTCTCCTGCCGCACAGGTCTGCACAGGGCGACGTGGCGACAGGGTGTGAGTGCCACCGCGGCCCCCGAGGGGGCCTCACTGCCCCCCAAGATTTCGCTGTCCTGCTTTGTCTTCAGCCCCGCTCACCAGGCAAATGGATATTCGGCGTTATCTTTCTCACATTTATTTGTTTGCCCAAAAACCTTTTATGGTTTTTTTTGTGTCCTGACACATACATATAAACTCCTCTTTCTAACTTTCAAATAAGCTACGAGACATTCTGTTGGCACTATGGTATTAAAAAAATAATAGTAACTAACAAAATTAAGCTGTGGTATCCTATAGGGCACTGAAACTTACTTAATCCCTTTGAGCCTCAGTTTGCCTGTAATAAGTGGGGATTAATAATACCTATTTCATGCATTTGTTGTGAGAATGAAAGAGTTTGTACATGTTACATACTTAGCACTTTGCCTCGCACAAACTTCATATTCAATAAATAGTAATATTGTTGCTATAATGGAAAACAAAGGTAATGATAAATTTCTGGATGCACTTCTTTTGTCTCTGTGATTTGGGCTCAGTACTCAAAATGTGTGTCTCGTTTTTCTTATCTAAAAAATAAGCATAGGTCCTAAATTATAAGGCCGTCGTAAGGATTACATGATTCAAATGAAAGAAAGATGCTCAATAGATGCTGAGTCCTTCATGTGTTTTTTGCCTCTCCCCACCCTTGCTTCTCATCCAATTGTGTACCACAAGAGAGAATTCCAAAATGCCATCTGATCTGACAGCCTTGTCATGGAGCTTTGCCCCTGCTATCGACAGCCTTCTTTCATGGCAACACCTCTCTTACAATCCGATTCTCCTCATCCCTAAGAAACCCAAGACAAGTCATGCTTTCTCCACGAAGCCATCGCTGACGGCTTCACTCACCACTGGCTTCCCTCTCGTGGAGCAAGTACCACATTTCTTCAAGTGCTTGTCACACAATTTAGCTATTAATTACATTCTGTCTTGTTCACTACAGAGAGGCCGTGTATCTCATGGCTGCCCAGTCTCAGTCGCGGCCATCGATCGCATGTTGGTTCATTTGAGGATGAGAAAATCTTCCATGAGATAAAAGGCAATTAAGTTCCTCTCCCCTCCCCTGCTTTTGTTCCAGCTTTTCTGCCTGAACAAGGAAAGGCCCACATGACTGTGCAAGACTACATGAGGTAGGTGGCAGCGTCGGCGCTACTTCCCTCCGGGACTGTATGGCCACATCTCTCATTAATGAAGTCGTAGTGAGGGGGTTTCTTAATAATGACATAGATCTCGGGATCTTGTCACTGGTTTAGCTACAGTACCTAGAACATCTTCACTGGCCTTGAGAGAAATAGAGCTTAAAATGTCATAAAGGCATGAGCAAATTAAATCAATAAATGTTGATTTTGGGGGGAGGGAAGACATTTAATTAAAATGTGCATAAATGGCATTCTACTATAATTCAGCTGTTCATAAGACCTTTATGTTCATATTTTCATACTGCCAATATTATCAACCACCATGCTATCTGCTGGACAATAATATGTATAATTTCCAATACGAGGTGGAAAGCAGTGAGAGTCTCTTAATTTGAGGACAGACGAGGTCTCAGAGAGGTCCCAAACGACAGCATCCATGGCACTGGAGAACTTAGTAGGACAAATTGGATCCCCACCCCAGACACTTTGAATTTAAAAATCTAGGGATAGAGTTCAGAAATAGGTGATTTCATAAGACCTTCAGGTAGTTTTGGGCTCCCTGTAGTTTAAGGGCCCCTGAACTAGACCATGAGCCTTTCGAGGCCAGGAGCTCTGCTTCCTGTGCTTCAGCCACTCTTGCATTTTCAGGATAATTCCAATTATTTGAAAATCAAATAGTCAACACTATACCCCCCAGCTCCTAGCAGTTCACACCAAAAATGCTACTTCGCCCTAGTTTTACCCTCTTAGAGGATTAGTGGTTTTTGCTGGTCACACAATCATAGAGCTGTAAGGGATGACAGTCAACTGAGAGTCAAGGTTAGTGACTCACTCATGTTCCTGTGGCTTGATTAGAACCAGGACAGCACCTGGCTTCTCCTGCATTCAAGGCGAGCACAGTTTTGGGGAGCTTTGCTGAACATGACAAAATAAGGTGTGACCCTCAAACCGCAAGAGAAACAGAAATGATAATAGACTATTACCAACTGGGGGGAAGCAACAAATGGGCAGTCATCTCCTACCAGTCTTCAAGGCTCCCAGCAAGCTCAACTGTCTATTAAAACAGGGAGTTTATAATTCAGAGACATGCGCTTTCTTGGCCTTAATGCAGAGAAGCAACTGAACAAAGAGGCAGGGCCCAGCTCTTCAAATTCCGCTGCCCAAGCAGAATACCTTGGTCTCCTTGGGAAAACTGTTATCTACCTCGTAATCTTTGATAAATTTTAATGTTGTGCCACTGGCTGTTATATTTGATGAAGCTAGATGCAGCTCTGGTATATCTGAGCTATCTGCAGGCCATCTGTAGTATAACAAGGTTCCATTCTGTTTGGAAATACTTTCAAGCACCTTGCAGTGCAGACCCCTTTGGGTAGGGTGATGCTGGGTTTTGAGGTAGTAAAGGAGTTTGTTTCTGCTGCGTGTGGTTCACAGGAGCCGGGAGACAGCGCTCCAAGATTGCAGTTCTTCATGGTGAGAATGAACGAGGGTCACTTCTGTGGCTGCTCCGTGTACCTCCTTCATCACATAATTTTACCCACTTCCCGAAAGTCCGTGCCTAGCAAAGATCGTTCTTGCAAGGTTCCCCAATGATTTGCCATCTGTCTAAAGTGAGACATTCTGTCACCTTCCTAATGAGCACTAGCGGGCACCTAACACTTAAATTCTCACACCTGCTGTAGCACATCACTCATGAAGAGAGGAGCAGCTCTGCCACTGTGTGCCCTCCCTTCTTCAGAGCTGTGGCCATTGCGGGGTTATTAGAAATGACGAGGAAATGCAGGTTTGCTCTGGAAGGGAAATAAGTACTCACAACGACCTCCCGGGGGCTGGCTAAGTGGACACGCCTCATTGTTGGTATCCGCCCTCCCCCTCCCCCACTGCAGATCTCTGCACCAGTTTCCAGAAACTCCCACCCTAACCAGAGGGACCAGTTTCAACTCCTGCCATTCTGCGACAAGTATACCACAAAGGTATGTGTTTTCCAGGCACTGTGGATCCAGGAAAATCCTCCTGTGCAGCAGTGGGTTTCATGAAACTGTAAGAAGGCACTTGAGAAATTTGTGAATGGATGGGTGAGAGAATGAACCAGGATTTCTAAACTCCAACTTGCAAGAAGAGTATAAAAGGGTCAGTTAAAATGGCTGAATATCTGTCAATGAGGAAGTGGTCATCTATAAGCATGTGCCCCCATTATATAGAACTCTATACAGTGACAAAAGGAACAGATAGTGATATATATACTAATTTATGACCTCCAAGTCATATGTTTAGGAGAAAAAAGCAAGATGCCAAAAGCTCTGTCAAGTATGTTACTATTTATAAAGCAAACATGCAAACTGTGAAGCATGTATGTAACTACCTGGAAAACTATCTGTAAAAATATACATACATATAAATTTAGCAGGAACGGGGGTTAGAGTTGATGGGGGATAATGGCCAAGGGGAGAGAGATCCCTATGTGTAATATAATTTTTTAAGGTGAGTACATTTTATATGGAGGTGACTAGGAAAAAGTGGCTTTTGATTAAGTGAACTATTAATGGACAAAAATATTCACATTTTCTTATAAAATTAAATACAAATAAAAAATAGTTAATGGCCCTAAAAATATGTTTACTGACAAATCAACCAACAATTATATTCTTGGTTGTGAGACTGTAAGCCTTTGGAAGGCAGGACTATGTGTTTTTTCCTTTTTGTGCCTTGGGCGCCTAGCAGACAGCCTAGATCCTGATAGACGTTCGATAAATATTTGTCTAAGTGAGTAAAGTAAAAATTTGTAGAAGGAGATTAAAAAGACGACATATTAAATCTTTGATACACAATTTATTCAATAGATTTCTTGCAAGAACTTTTTTCCTCTTGAACCTACTTTTTGTTAGGGAGTCAAGCGATTGCCACGCCCAGCTCTCAGGTTCTTTTCAATGATAAGACATCCAAGCCGAGCTTTGAAAGCCCACAGTAAGGTTCATGGCTGATCTGTTCTTCCTTGATCTAATCAGGAGGCAAAGCACCAGATGCCTGTGGCTCGTTAGAAAGTGTTGAAGGGATGTTGGGTGGTGTCTGGTAAGTGGGCCTGCCTAGTGAAACTATAGGTGGTATTGTTGAATGTGTGAATGGCTAAATGAATAAATTGTAATTAATCTAATTTAAGCAATGGAGTCATGAAAGTAAAATTATCCAAACTACCAGGGTATCTCAAATAAGCCCCTTAGTGTTGCATGTCAAGTAAAGACCAGCAAACTTCAACAAAAGAAGGCAGCAAACCTAGAAAAACCTCATGAAAAGTTCTGATTCCCATAGAGCCCATGAGCTTTACATGTTCAACAGCACAGCCACTGAGAGGCAGTAATTAGGAAGTGAGTTTGTATCCATAATTTCCTGATAACTGAAGGTTATCATTTTAAGTGCCAAAGCTGAATAAAAACAATTTGATGAAAGCACTTCTGTTTCTTGTTCAAGTCCAAAAATACACAGAACATATTTTAACCCAACCTACGGACTTAGACTTAATTGTTTTTAAACATCCCTCCTTGTAATCTGTCTGCCTGTCCTCAACAAGTTTGTGCAGCTGAGGACGCCCCAGCCTGGTGCTCTTTAGAAAGAGTCTTCTTTGAGTCTACACTTTCGTTGTTTTTTCCCTTTTTGTGTTGCCATCAACTACCATTTCACTGTGGTTTTCAGTGCAGTGCCCCTAGCTTCTGCGCCACAATCTCCCTGCCGTGTCTAACTGAACATTAGCCTATTGTGCAATGGTAAGCCACATAACCGAAGTCATGGGTATTGCATGTAAAGTATGGCAAGCAGTCCCTGAGTAGGGATGATGGGCTGTCCTTCAAGGAAGTGTATCTGAGCCCTAGAAAATGCACCATCTGTCTACTCAGATTTCTCTTTCACTCAATTTCTGGAAGATTGGGGTGTTGAGGTGACTAGGAAAACATGGCTGTTGGTAAGTGAAGTGTTACTGGATAAAGATATTCCTATTTTTTATTGTAGCATTCCAGAATGGCTGGAATTCTGGGAAAATGATCCAGTGGAGATTCTCTTGGATCTGGGGTTTGGTGCTGATGAGCCAGACATCTGCACACAGATTCCAGCCAGATTCCTGGGCTGTAGCTCAGCGGCCAGAGGAATCAACATCCATGTTTTCCTTGAAGCTCAAAAGCAGCGAATGGACATTGAGAACCCTGACTTGTATGGTAAGCGAGGACCTCTTGGCTCCCGAATTTTAGCAATGGCCATTGTTACCGAGCTGGGGCTTGCTGCCCGAGAGAAGACAATACTATGGCACTGGCTTTAAAAAAAGACATAGCTTTCTTGAGACATCAACCAGCAAGTGGACTAGAGGCAGAGCTCAAATCTGTCTTTGGATCCAGGGTTCGAAGAAAGATTTAAGGGGTTGAGGAGAACATGCTGGTATGCCAAAGCACTGGTAGGGGCAAGTTTCAATGCGGGGGGGCTTTGGGACTTGGCCATTTACAGTAAGCTATGGTGAGGGGCTTCAGCACCCAGCCTTCCTGGACAAAGGACCCTTCACTTCTGAGAGGATTCTGGCGTTCAGGTTCCAGTTATACCCCAGTCCTTTGGTTCCATGGGGTGGAGAGACTTTGGTTCCAGGTGTTGTTGAAAGTCACAATTTTCTCTTCTGCATGTGCTTTGGCCAAATTCCGTTTTGTTCTGTTGTCCCTGAAAAACAACCCGGTATCTCATTGGAGACAGAATAAGACCAGTTTAAGCTAGCTCTGTAGTTACACCGTGAGCGGTGAAATGAGCCACAGTATGGGGTGCGACGGTCTGGGAGGTATGTGCAGTGGTGATCAGCCCCTCTCTTGTGGCTTGGAACAGTTCATACCTTGACCACTCTACATGTCCACTGCAGGCCGGTGCATGTGTTGGGGGAAGGGAGGTCTGTTCCATGTTGTCCTTATTCATGGACTTGGCCCTACCACCTGGAACATCACCGGTTGCAATGACAGAGAAAAGGCAGAAATGGAGAACTATACTTGATTCTCACATCCTTCTGCTCAGAATATACACATATCGGGTCTGCTCAGATTTTGTTGTCCAAAATAAGTCACATAGCCATACTTAACTGAATCGGTGAGAAGGAGCAATCCTACCATATGCTCAGAAGGAAGAAGATTGGCAATCCTGCTTAACAGCAGTAATATATGCCACTTACCCAGAAGGCAAAAGACCAAGATCTGACAAGGCTTATCATGAGTCACTAGGTGAAACCTTGATTTCCGCATCTAGGAGGCTTAGAACACCTCTTAGTCCACCATGAGCTATAAGTGATGGCTATTAGTATTCCAGATTTCTGTGATCATTGTCAGGCCTGCTGTATTTCTCCAATGGTGGTCAATGGAATACTCTTTTCTAGAATATTCCTTAGGATGTTCCAGGGGTATGTGTCCTGTGTTTCAATAATTTTGGGGAGAGATGCCCTGTAGTTAAATGGGTTTATTTACTGTGGGATTTGTTTAACATGCTGTAGTGCACTCTCAGGCTCACAGGGCGTACGGGGCAGCGGTTCCCAAACCATGTAAAGCCGGAACCCCTCTTGGAGGAACGATGAAGAAAGTCTCCTCCATGGGATGGGTTTTGCAGAAATCTGGACTGAAGAAAGTGCCAAAATTCTGTTTCTGAAATAAGTTCTTTTAAATAAATAAATTCACTGAAAGGAATGTGAGATAAAGTGTTTTTCTCAAATAAGTCTATTAGATTTTTCATTTTAGTTTCTGTTTCCCCTGTTTTCATGTATGAGAACTGGGTCTTAAAAATCTCAGCAATGAGATTTTCAAAAGAGTGTGTAAGCCTGAAGATGTTGCAATGTAATGTTTTGGTTGTGTGTGTGTGTGTGTGTGCGCGCGTGCGCATGTGCTTACCTTTTAGAAGAAATTAATATCATTCATTGCTGTCTTCCTGTCCAAGTCACAAGGAGAAGTTCTGCCCGCTCTTTAATCGATTATTTATTTGGGGAGAATAATAACACCAATATCTGATCTGTAAAGTCAACATTTTACAGATAAAATTGACACATGCATCATAGAGGAACCAGGAGTTGGTCTCTGATCCTATGATGGCCGGCCCACTCTTATTTCTACCACTGGATACTTTGCTAACAAAGTGGTAGAAATAGTTACCCTATTTTCCTGGTTGGAGAACAGGGTACCTAATTACATTCAACATTTACCTGTACACTTTGGATTCAAGAAAGCTAAGAAGGTCAAATGTAAAACAAGGAATAATAAAATTAGTTGTTTTTTCTAAAGAAGGAATGGAAAAGTATGTCTCATTCAAAAATCAATACAAAAAGTTCACACTTGGGATGAGAATCAATCAGTTGATTATTCTACCTGCCCAAAGGCAAAACAAACAAAACCCACTCATCCAATGTCATGCTACTGAGCTCTCTGAATTGACTTAACAATTAAATTAATAGGTTTTTGTCTTAGTCTAAGTATAAAAACCTGCTATAGGATAGATGTTCAGACAATCATAAAAGTGGAATTAGGCTTCAGTTGTACTCTTGGGCTGACAAAAGAGGTTTAGTTTCAACTAACGCTTAATGTAGGGGTGAAATGTAGTTAGAATGCTTCTGAAAACATCCAGAACCCAAAATTTCTTCTAGGCCTTGAGGGAATATTGTAGTCCTCTATGAAGAGCTCCTCATAGCTTTTGGAGTAGAAAGATGAACAGTCAGTATCTTCCTCTTGCAGGTGAAGGAAACAGGCATAAAGGTGTGGTCAGGTAAGGTTGAAGGTTGTCCGTCACAGCAGATAACTGTGCTCCACATGCCCCCGGTTTTACGGAGGGGAGGTAAAATTCTTCACAACAGTAGCACAGCTGTGATGGTGGGAACAGCAAAATAGCATCCCTACCTGCCAACGTGGCCTTCACTGTTGCTGAGCTGTGCAACCCCACATGCAAGCACAGGGTGGAGAGAAGGCTGCATCATAAAAACAAAATGTTCTGTTTCCTTTTCCATAGGTTTTTTAGTATCTAGTGATACCAAAATACCAAAACTATTTCTCATCATTTTTTCCAAAGGAGTAATATGTCCTGCGATCAGCCCTTGTTGCACTAGATCTCTCCTGCACACTAGATCAACACTTGCATACTGCCTAACTGATTGAGGTCAGATCATCCAAAAAGACTTACAAGTTCAGGAGCTGGTTTGTTTAGAAAAGCAAATGGGTTTTCACATTAATGACTATCTTTTCTTGAAAGATTGAGGACAACATACAGGGTCCAGCAGAAGTAACATGGGCTTGAGTGTGGTTGGTAGGGTAATAATATGGGTGTAATAATTTATAGGTTTAATTTGAACATTTCACTTAAGATGTCCTATTGTGTGCTTGAGTGTAATATTGTTATGTTACTGTCTTACATGCTTATGATTTTGTAATAAAAAAGGAGCCTTATTTGTGCCAGACCCTGTATTTCCTTCCAAAGTCTTGCTCATTTATCATTTTAACAACTGATATTTATATATAGCATGATGCTTTTAACAACACATGTGAGAGATAGTTAAGACAGGTATGGTTACCCCCATTCCTGAGATGAAGAAACTGACCATTCATTGTGTGCCTGGCACAGGGCTAAGCAGCAAACATCTATTCCTTCACTTTCTCTGCGGTCACACTTGCAGTGATCAATGGACCTGGAATTTGGATCCGGGCCTTCTGACCCTGTCTGCCATGATTTCTTTACACACTCAGGTGACAATAGGTGGAGAGGATGGAGGCAAGGATAAGGATATCTTCTGCCAACAACAGTCGAAGAAACTCAAGTTCACCTTGTATGAAAGAGCTGGGTTCATTTTACTGTCATAGTGTAATTTACAAGATTAAACTCAAGATATATCTTTGCCTGTCAATTTTATGGGTTAACACAACAATTAACTATTGGCATATATGACTCTATCTAGTTATGCATGTACAGCTACATATAAAATGTATTCACTCTCCCTATAACACAGGGATGTCTCATTATATAGGGGAGTCCCCTCCATAATAATTAGTAGCATGTATGGGGAAAAATAGAGTTTCAGGAGCTCAAAATCCTTCCCATCTTGAAAAATCACATGTGTTAATCAGCCTCTTCAGTATTGACTACCTTTATGCAGTTTCATTAAAAAGATCCCATCTAAAAGTTGTGTTTTGTATATTGTTCAGGTCGTTTTCAACAGCTGGAAATCCTGGATCATGTGGCCAATGCCTTCTCATCTTTGTTGAATGAGGTTAACACCCTGCAAAGCAAAGCTAAAGAAGAGGATGGAGAGGAAAGTGTGCATAGAACCTCAGTGGGTGGAGCCAACGAACATCAAAGAAGAACGAGTGAACTTCTCAGGAGAGCCTCAAGGCGGAACATTAGGGGAGACTGTAGTTCCAAAGTGTCAGAGTCATTGAAGAACAGGGAAGAATTTTCCCTCCCCTCCACAAAACCGGGGGCACGTGAAGCACAGTTATCCGCTGTGATGGACAACCTTCAACAGGTTTATTTGTCTTCTTCAGCTGAGCACTTGTCTCTACAAGATTGTGATGACTTGATACCTTGTCACCCTCCCCAACCTCTTCTGAAAAAGCAGTGGCCTTCCTCACCTGTGCTAAACAAGCAGGCTCCCCCTTCCTGCATGCCTAAGGGGCCAGTCAAGGACAGAGCACCAAAAGAACACTGGATCCAGACTAACAAGCTCAAGAGCCTAGCTGATGTAAGCGGAGCACCGGACTCCTTTGAAATGGAAGAGGTCAGTGTGGTACCTCTGTGCTCAACCTGTAGGGGAAGGAATCAAGGCATCCTTTACCCTCATTTAACCCCTTCTTCATCTGTCAACCCCTCGGCATAAGATCTTATTGTTCTAAACTGCTGTTTCAACTAGGACATTTAAGGTCATTCTAGTTGCCTCAGTTGAAACTAAATGAGTGTGAAACCAGCTTTTGCTAGTACTGTTTTATTATGCATCTCAGGGTGCGTTTCTCTTTTCTAACTTTCCATGTTTCACCTTCCTTGAGGGTCAGTTCAACCACTCCCCTCTCAGTGCGAATCCTCCTCTGTGTTCTCACAGCCTAGGCAGGGAGAGCTTGCTGTGGGAGAGGATGTGTGCGCGTTGTCAGTGACACCACCCCCACTGGCTCCTTGAGGACCAGGTTTTGTCATCAAGGGGACTTGTCTTGGAAATACTTCCCCATGATGACTAATGTAGGGCATTGGGCAAAGAAGTAGGGTGGGTTTGGTTTTTATTTTTATGGGACCATTGTCTTGTTTGTTCGCTTTGGGAGTTGCTGATGTTCACATAGCTTGATGCCCATGTCACATGGCTCTGTTTTTCTGCCCACACCTTCATCCATTCATGCTCATGTTCACCCTCCTTTAGGTACATCCCCACCTGCACTTCTCAGTTTTTTTTTAAAAATATATGTACACATTTTACTCCTTTCTCTATTCTTTGCTATAATTACAAAGAAAGTGCAGAAGAGCAAGGTCCCCCTCTTTTCATGTTAAATTATCCAGAAGTGGGGCAGGGTACTCATATGTGAATCCCATCAAAGTTATTTTCCTCTAAGTCAGTCTAGTTTGAAGCAGAGATTTAGTAAGGATAAAAGGGGAAGCGAGTGGCCTAGATGTAATTTTCGAAGGGAGTCTTTCTCTACTCCCTTCGGTGTCGGTCTGGCCACCTCTCCTTTGAGCCCTCTACTGGGAGGCTCTCTGATAGGTTCAGGGGCAGACACTGCCGTACGGGGAACCACAGTGCAGTGGCAGGGATGGGCACGGGGCCAAGAATGGAGTAGAGAGGGGGACAGGGCTGCTGATGAACTTTTTTGTCACTACAGAGGTGTGTTTGGGATATCTGGGGAGCATGGGAAGGGGGTCCTTAACCAGCCTGGAAGCTGAGTGGATCAAGGAGTTTATAGGAAGGAAGACTTGACCGTGAATTGTTTGGTATCTCTGGGACACACTGAAGAAGAGTTGTCTTGGGCCACACACTAAATACACTAAATACATTGCGACACATAATCACAAAAAAATCTCATAATGTTTTAAGTAAATTTACAATTTTGCGTTGGGCTGCATTCATCGCCACCCTGGGCTGCATGTGGCCCCTGGGCCGTGGGTTGGACACCCCTGCAAAGAAGAATGTTATTTAGGTGAATATGCCTATCAGTAGCCCTGCACATCCCACAAAGGTAGAAAAATTGCTCCAAAATACGTAGCTGTTAATATCCTAATGCCTATGCATATATGCTTATGTATACACATGTTTATAGCAAAAATTTTATTTTAAGAACCTTAAAACATTAATCTGAATTTAAAACAGTAGCCTAAAAATGAACAAAAATTATAAATGGAGGAAAAAACAGACTTTTGGTCAAGTGCCCTGATTTGAAGATAAACAGATGGCACTAAAAAAGAGTATTTTTAGTTCACTCTTGAAAAGATTATTTAATTTCCAAGTTAATAGTTAAATCACTATAAAGAATATCAAGAAAATCTGCAATTCATTAGTCAGTCTGCTCTATTACCTAGGATCCAAATGAGAAATTTCACCGAACGCCAGCCCATTGGCAAGCCTCTTTACCCTTCCTAAATCTCCGCTTCAAACTAGACTGACTTAGAAGAAAATAACTTTGATGGGATGCCATCTATATGTAAGAGTACAGGGAGAGATGAATACATTCAGCATAAAGAACTGGGAAAAAAATGTCAGTCCTTGTATGGTACACTTTCAAATATTCTTAAATGGCAGTTAGTCAAGGAAAAGCTATATATTAGTATGTGTAGGGGTGGGAAGGAAGAACACGCTCAGACACTGAAGTACAAGAAAACAAACTCACATCAGTTTTGACATGTAGTAGGTATGCAGTAAATATTTATGAATAAGTAAATTAAAATTATCTGATAATATTAATTTATTCTGCGGGTGGCTTCCATACAAAATAGACTGTTCTCTTGAACTTCATGGCCAACTGTGTTTATGGTGTTTCTTTAATATTTGACCAAATTTATGTGTGAGAGAGACTGTATGGATATGTAAGGCAGAGAGGACCCTCAAAATGATATAAAAGAAGCTCACTACTTGCATTTTGTTTTTCTAAAAACTATATTTAAAGTATTACATCCCTATCACATAGATTGGGCGGGGGGAAGTGAATATTTGTTTCACGTAACATCAATGGATGAGTAAATGAAGCTTGGGTACATTGTATCTTAAACAGGAGCAAATGCCAGATTTAATAGTTATTTTTCAATGGCAAATTTAAAAATACAGTTATATGAAATGAAAAATACACACAAAATCAACAGATTTTCATGGCATTTAAAACATAAGCCAATCTTGATATAAAGAAAAAAAAAACATAAGCCAATCAGAATTTCAACTAGGATTAGCCAGGTTTTGCCTTCAGATCAATTGATGGTGTTTTCCCTGAAGTCCTACTAAAAGCTGACTGTGGCAACATTTGGCTTGCTTCTCAAAAACTATGAGTCCAGCAAAATTGCACACAGGTTTTTATGTAAAAATCAACATTTTATATTTAATTGTAATTTACTTAGTAAAACTGAGTTCTAATTCCCAAATATATTACCAGAATTTAATTTTTATAAAATTTCTGCAATTGTAGACATAAGGTAAGGTGCTTCTTTACATCCACAATAAAGCATCTGAAACCTTTCTTCTCACTTTCATACAGGGATCCTGCTCAAGAATACATATGTAAGAACATTACCCATCTTGTTAAACAGTACCAATTGTCATCTTGATTAAGTGGGAACTGTTTCAAAAGTTATAACTATTTCTTTAATTTTTTTAAATTTACTAAGTTTGGCTATATATATAGTATATAGTACATAGTACATAGTATATAGTGTAGTATATAGTGTATATATATAGTGTGTATACAGATAAAGATATAGATAGATATTGATATAGACAGATATAGAATAACCACATGTATGCCTGGTTATACTATATATAGTATACTATATAGTATATATAGTAGCCTATAGTGTATATATAGTATACCATATATAGTATAACCAGGAATACATCTGGTTTCCATTTTAAATTACTGGGATTTTTTTGGTTTTAATTCTCTTTTCACTAGACACACACATACACTTTATATTGCATTAACTGGATAAAGTCACAGCAAAATAATTTTTTGATTATACTTGAAGTGGAAGTATGTCTCATTATTTAAAGTGTAAAGTAACTTCTTTTGAGGAAAAGAGATAAACAGTTAAAGGGAGAAATAAATATTTCTCCTTACATTGCTGAAGTATCTCCTCATGGTTCTCTGTTTATTCCTGGGTTAAAGGTCATTTTTGGCCAAATGTACCACAACACTTAGATGTTAATGTCCTCTGACTCAACTTCTAATACTCAGACGTCAATCCCCAATAAATAATATGCTGAAATAGATTCATCTCAGCATTATTTCTATTTGCAAAATTTAGAAAACATTCCAACATTAGGAAAATCATTAAGTAAATAATGCACTTTTAAAATACGGCCTATTGTGCAGTCATGAAAGATGGTGTTTTTCAAAAAAATTTTATAATGTCAGAAAAAATTTCTCCTTCAAAGTTTGAGTGAAAAAATTGACTACATAACTATACCCATAATAAATGCATTATAAAAAACTACATAGACACACTCTAAAATATTAACAGTAACTGTTTTCATACATTCTTTAACTTTCTATATTTATTAAGGTTCTACAGTAAGCAATATTATTATTTTTAAAGAAATATTTTCCTTGTTTGAACACTAATTTTATTCTCATTTCTAGAGTAGTATTCATTAATTTATTAAAAGAATTTTAAGAATAAATTCTTTATCCATTTGGAAATCAAATTTCCTTTGAGCTATCTAAGCTTTATATAGCAACTCAATTATGAATTTTCTGAACTGCTCTTTATAAATTTACCAAGGCATAAATAAATCCCTTAGAGAGCCAAAATTAAATATGGGAAATAATTTGCCTTCTCCAAATATAGGTAAAGCTATTTGGAGGGAAAAATCCATAACCATAATCATAATATCATTTAAGTTTAGTGCATGTGCCACATGTTTCAAATGGCCTGTGCCTCCCAGCCAGAAGGACCTTCCCCTTTGCCCCTCCTGAACTCATTCAGCTCTTTGAAACCTTGCCTTGAGTGCCTTGTACACGCCACATGCCTTCAGCAGGCTGTAAGCTATTGGAGTTCAGAAATCCAATAGCTTACAGCCTTGTAGCAATTGCTAGTAGACACTCATTATATGTTGATTAATTAAATGAAGTGAATTCATTATGAAAGCATCACTGATGAGACTGATGTATTTTGGTGTCTCAGGTCCAGAGCTTTGAAGAGGAGATTGGTAACCCTCCTGACCTGACTTCAGGAACTGTAGGTAAGAATGCACCCAACTGTGCAATTGCATCAGTGGCCTTTCAGAAAGAGAACATAAATAACTGCTATTCAACTTTCTTAAGACGTAGAACTGAAAGTATTGCCAAGCAATGCCGTACCTATTACTACTACTGTCTGCTACTATTGGATCTTCTATCTACTATTCTTAAAACTTACTAACAATGCAAATGTACATGGAAATTTCAAATGACTTACTACAGCAATGTTCAATATCAGTGGTGCCAATTTAGTCTGTGGTTTTTCTACCATTAACTCTAAATGAGCTGGCCAGTATAGTGGAATGAGTTTCACATAGGATTGGGACTAACTGCACGAATACTTTCTTTTACTGTCAACTGCTTGATGTTGTACAAGTCATATCATGTTACTTGGCCATGTTTTTTTTTTAACCTGTTACAAAGAGATAAGTACACATCATTTCTTCTCTGACAACACATATCCTATATTAAGTGGTTATATGACCTTCATATGAATCTCTCAGGGGAAGCGAGTGGCCTAGATGTAATTTTCCAAATAATCTCTAGAATGATCTTACAGTATCCTAGACAACAGAGAAGGGAGTCTTTCTCTACTGCTGGTTCTTATGCCCTCATTCAGCATCATTGTGATTCAGCATTTCCATAATCCTAGAGCAGAGCTAAAAGTAGACAGGGATTAGTGAAGCAAAATAAAGCAGATGAAGCTAGTGTATTTTCTGGAAGAAAATATGCTAATTTTTAATTTAATTTAATGTGGTGTCAAACACATCTTTTACATTACAAAGTGTATATACGGGTCTCATTTTACTAAATGCTGTTTAGAAATTATGCCTTAGTAATTATAGGGTCCTTCTGATTACATAAATTGTTATCCAGCTCTTCGAAGTAATTACCACATAACCTGCATTGAGGTTTATAAGATAAAAATAAGCATCGGTTTTCCATCTAATTGATTGCTTCTCATTGAAGTCGGAGGTCCCCTGCCAATAGAAGCTGCCTTCCTTGACATTTAATTAAGAAGTCTGCTGATATCATGTAAGTCACCCCAACCATTCCAAAAAATGATTTGGGGAGTTTGGCAAAAGCACTAATCTACATTTAATCTCAAATTTAGAGAGCAAAGTAATATGAGTGAAGATTAGCCTAATGGAGAAAATCTGAATTACAGTTAAAGCAAAAGTAATTTCATTACTTTCACAGTGTAGCTAACCCAAGAAAAAAATAGGACTAAGGGGCAAAAATAAGTAAAATTAATTCAATTAATGGAGAAAGGGGAAAATTATTACTTTTCTATATATAGGAATGTATTACATAACTACATACATGAATGAATTTTTGGCTCAAAGTTTTTAGAAAGTGACTTCATTCAAAAGATGAAGGCACATGAACTGTGTTGACCAATAGGAGGATGTGGCAGAAGTGATTCTTGGCTACGTCCAGACCATAGTTTTCAATCACCTGGCTGCTTCCTGGGCCTTGAGATACCTACTCTTGGAATAGTCTCTCTGGGAACCCAAACTTTGTGTTGTAAAAAGCTCCAGCTATATGTGGATGCCACCTATAGGCACCCTGGTGACCAGCCTTGAACCACTCCCATGTGAATAGGCCATCTTGGATGTCCAGTCCGGTCACACTTTCTGATGACTTCAGTCCAGGTGCCATCTGACTTTAATCGCATGAGAAAATCCAAGCAATAACCACATGACCAAGCTGAGTCAAGTCATAGAACCACGAGAGATAATAAATTGTGGTTTTAAGTCACACATATATATATATACACAAATAGATGAACACATGTGATGAACTATTCGTATGCCTTTAAAACTTTAAAAAGGCACTTTAAAGACTGTATTTCATCCAGTCATGCCTAATACTCTGAATATCAGCAGAAAAATGTGTATTTAAGCATTTTCAAAAACTAATTGGATCAAAATTACTTCTTACTAAAGATAGGCACCCAAGGCCACAAATATACCATCCTCCCTTCACCCCTGAAAAGTTATCACTGAAATGACAAAGAGATGCAAACATAAGGAGGAAATATAGTGCAGTGCTATTAAAAGGGTGGGCATGGTTCAATCATTCATATTTCAGAAGCCTTGAGGAATCTGTGTAACATGTATTGTGGGTGAAGATGCAGACAATTCTATGGGAAGAGCTCACCTAGGGATCAAAGAGACAAGTATTTTCGGGAACCATACTAACACATTAAGGTCATCATTTCTAAAATGATCTCATTAACTCTGAAATTCAACAAGACATGCCTTTCCTGCCACTGTATAAAATCAGCAGACACAGCAAAACTACCACAATATCTAGCAGTTCACAATCAGAGGCTATTCAGAAGAAATGCTTATCAATAACAGAATGATTACAAAAATTATTAGAAATCCCAGAAATTAATATTATCAGTGAGATATATGAAGTTATTGCATCTATGTAAGAGAATAATCTCCAATGAGTAAACATTCCCTTCATATAAAATATAGAGTGTCTGATTTTGCTTCTGATAATGGCAAAGGAACCCTAACAGGCCAATCTCACACAGAGAACTATATATACTCTGGATAAAATATTTTTAAAAGCTTCCACCTAAAGGCACTGAGAGTGACCCAAAGCAGACAGACAATGGAGAAAGCTTCAACGCCTGAAAAAAAAGAATGGCACTGGATGAGCTTCCTGTTTTTTAAAAGTCATTTAGCCTGGGGACAGGCTTTAATTGACATCATTTTTTTAAATTTATAGAAATTAACAGTCTTACTAACTAGAAGATCAGAAGACATTCCAGGACAATGAAAACAGTGGGAAAATTAGGGGAGAAATCTCAGAAAGGAGAGAGCCAGAGAGGAAAATTCTCAGAGTCTGAATCCATAGATTTCATACTCAGACTCAAAATGAAATCTCAATTCTTGAACTAAGCGCCATAAGGAAAACTTCAGGAATCTCAGTTAAGGCTAAAAGAAATGAACTGCTATTTTCAATTAGAGTTTGATTCCAGCCAGTTTCCTACGTGCTAAAACTATATACCATTCACAATGTCCAGGTACAAAGAAAATTACTGAACATATGAAGAAATAAGAAAATATAACCTACACTCAAGAAAAAGGCAATTAATGGAGACAAACTATGAGAAAACCCAGATGTTGAAATCTAAAGAGCTTCTTATAAACATGCTAAAGGATGTAAAGGAAAATATGCTCACAATAAATAAAAACAATATTTCTCAAAAACAAAATAGAAATTATAATAAATAATGAAATGGAAATTCTATAAATTAAGACTATAATTTCTGAAACAAAATGTGTTGGATGGTCACAGCAGAAATAAAATGAGAAAAGAAAGACCTGATGAACTTTAATATAGATCAATAGAAATTACCCAACAATCTGAAGAACAGGGGGAAAAAGCTAAGTTGTATTTAAAAAATTATCTGAGTTTCAGGAACCTGTGAGACAATATCAGAAGGTCAAATATTCATGCAATTGCAGTCAGAAAACGGAAGGATAGAAAGAATTGAGGAGAGAAAAAAAATTGCAGAAATAATGGTGGAAAGTTTTCCAAATTCACTCAAAAGATTTACATTTACAGATTTAAGAAGCTCAGCAATTCCAAGTAGGATAAATACACAGAAAACTAAACTTAAATGATATAATGATCAAACCAATAAAAATCAAAAATAAAGAGAAAATATTCAAAGCAGATACGGAAAAATTACATATTGCATGCAAGGGAATAAAGAAGGAATGATGAAAGACTTCTCATTAGAAACAATGGAGACCAGAAGACAGTAACTGTGAACCAGATTCTATATGCAGCAAAGTGTCCTTCAAGAGTAAACAAAAAATAAAGACATTCTTAGGTAAAAGACAACAAGGTAACATTATCAGCATACCTGCACCACAAGCACTACTGAAGGAAATTCTTCAAACTAAACATAGACAGTGAATTGTGATGTTTTCACCATATGTCAATGTGATGCATGTGACAATTATAGCACAAAATATGGGGAGGTTAGTTAATGGACCAACACAGTTGCAAGGTTTCTACATGATTCCATGAAGTGGCACAATATTAAATTTAAGTACATTGTGAAAGATTAAGGACATGAAGCACCCAGTAAAAAAATTACAGAAGTATACTAAAATGCTAACAGATAAATTCAAATATAATTCAAAGCATGCAATGATGACAGTAACTGACAGATTGAATACTGGAGGAAAATAACTGGGTTATGAAAGTAGGAGACATGAGAAATCATTTAAGAAATGAGTGGAAAATGACATGAATATAATAAGCAAAATGTCAAGAAAGACAGATCCAAAGAACATTACATAGATGGGACAGGTGGTTACAGTTAGACTCTTCACATTTTAGGTTTGACTGAAGTTCTGAAAAAAGATAAATATCGATACAAAGTCAATGTGTTACAAACCTATACATGCAGCTTTTCTAAGGAAATCATAGGACCCAGTTCCACAAGTCTTGAATCTTTCAGCCATAGTATGCATTTAGAAGTGACATGTTGCAGAGAGAGAGAGAAAAGATTAAAGAAGCTATTTCACTGGTAAACACTAATGCCCACCTGTGTTCCCATCCCAGCGTTTGGGGGAGAGTGGGGGGTGCTAGCTTTTAACCCCAAGTAGTGAGAGGCCTCCAGGAAACCACTTGCGGAGCCACTTCCTTCTATTTAACAAAAGCAGTCCCAGTGTGACAGGCTCTATTTTACATGCTTCACGTGCCTTGCATCGTTTACCCTTCAAAATAACATTTGAGGTCGGCACTCTTATTGTCCCTAATTATTGGATGAGCAAACTGAAGCACAGGTAGGTTAAATACTTTCCATGGTCTCAGAGGTAGTAAAAAGTAGTTCCCGGTTTCAAATTCAGGCCGTCCAGCACCAGAATCTGCTTGCTTCAATACAGCACCATGCACCTTCGAAAGGACTCCCCTGCCATTGGAAGATGCCTGGCCCAGGGCATGAGAATAATAACATGGGCTGAGG